CTGATTCCAGGAAGCTGGGGGCAGAGCAACTCTGCCTCGGGCTTCCTGTAGTCAGCCCCTGGTCAGTTCCAGCAGCAGCGGCTGAATCTGGGGCCAGTTCCGAGTTACGTACAAATTCAACTTAAGAACAAACCTATAGTCCCTATCTTGTACGTAACCCGGGGACTGCCTATAGTAAAAAAGAAAGCATCCATGTAGCTTTGGTATTGGAGTTTACCTCCTCCTCCCACCCCCTGCCAATGTGCTAAAATACTCGATAAGGTCAGTTCCAGCAGCAGCGGCTGAATCTGGGGCCAGTTCCGAGTTACGTACAAATTCAACTTAAGAACAAACCTATAGTCCCTATCTTGTACGTAACCCGGGGACTGCCTATAGTAAAAAAGAAAGCATCCATGTAGCTTTGGTATTGGAGTTTACCTCCTCCTCCCACCCCCTGCCAATGTGCTAAAATACTCGATAATGAAACTTTATTTTATTTTATGGTGCATCATGGGAGATGCAGTCTGACCATGGAGCCTGGCCTGTAAAAGTGGATGGGAGGGTGAGTCACACAAACCACAGCTCCCATGAAAGAGCAGCATTGATATTTCCAAACTAAAATACTTTATTTTTTTTACCCAAAAATTTCCACTGAAAAATCCATTTTTTTTCTAGTCTTGATACAGGGAGTTAAAAGGTGCTGTGAAAGGCCTGGGAGGGACAAACACTATCAAGTACCAGGAAGAAGAGTCTGCAGTAAAGGAAGGTGCCAGGGAGGACCATGGAAAAGTGGCTTAGAAATTGTAGTTGTCACACAGCAGATGCTGGGGACATTACAGGCAGCTGTCATCACATGGTGCCTAGGCTGAAATTAGTCTTGATACAGGGAGTTAAAAGGTGCTGTGAAAGGCCTGGGAGGGACAAACACTATCAAGTACCAGGAAGAAGAGTCTGCAGTAAAGGAAGGTGCCAGGGAGGACCATGGAAAAGTGGCTTAGAAATTGTAGTTGTCACACAGCAGATGCTGGGGACATTACAGGCAGCTGTCATCACAT